AACTGTGTAGAGATCAATGGAGATGTCACACCTAACCTAGAGCTGAATAGTTTTGAGATCCTTCACAGAAAAACCAAACGGATCAAATTTAATAGAAACAAGATTGTCGGTTGTAAAGCGACGAAAAAGTATGAGGTTTTTTATAATAATAGGTGTGACTAAGACATTACGAAGATGCAAGGACTGTAATTTGGTATGGTCGGATTGATGAATGGGTATGGAAGAACCATTGCCAACAACGTAAAAATTGGGAATTTCCCATTACCAATTGTCACAAAAGATTAGCCTCAACCTATGATAATGATACAACTTTTCATATTTAAGGAAAATATGATCAGTTAAATGATGATAATAGGATCAAAAATGAGTGAAATTATATCACTTTTTATGATGGTTAGTGTATTTGGAAAGTACACAAAAAAATGATCCCAATGATATAAGCATTATCAAAATCTGACTCCAATTAGAGGAGTTATGATTTTATTAAAGATAAAAAAAAAAACAATCGCATTAATAAACGATATTAGCGTCAAAATGACATTGAGAGATCGGTTGATTTTTGGCGAAATTCACTAAAAGGGAAATCATAGTAATGCATGAGATAAGGTCTTTGAAAGGAAAAAGGTCAAAACGGAGTTCGTATGAAGGGGACACGATTTTAGAAAAATATAAAATACATGTTAAAAACAGTAGTCAAAATTTGACGATGCGGCCTTAAGGAAAGTTGTAGTACTAGTATAGAGCTACACAAATATATAAAGCGAGTAAGAAACAAGATTCATATAAGGAATATATGAATTTCTATAAAAGATTTAGGGTGCACGCCAAGTGTGCGTCATACTTTCCGCGCACACCTGACACCCAGATTCGTCGAAGATTATGGAGACGCGATCCATCAGAAGTGTGCCACGTGGTAAGCTCCAGATGGAGCCACGAAGCGAGTGCACACTGCGCATGAAGTGTGCCACGCACACAACCTGTGACATCCCCAATTTCACGGCCAGAAAAGATCGATTTGTTTATGTTTTGTTTTATAAATCAGAGTAATCGTTTACAGAAAACAGGTCCGGAATTTGTTCCCAAAACAAAATGTGATAAGAATTTATCAAAGCATTTCTTTAAAGAAATGTATTTTCATTAAATAACAAAATCTCGGGATGTCATATTCCGATACAGACCAAAAGCATAAACAGTATAAAATAGACCTTACAATAGTTATTTATAACTACTGATCTATAATCCAAAATCTCTCGTCAAGTCCACCAACTTATACTCTTGTGTCATTACTGTAATGCAAAGAAAACTGAGTGGGTCAGGCTTGGGAGCCTGGTGGGCATATAGGGTTTTCAACCCACACTAATATAATTATTATATTTAATCTTCAAGCAATCAACCCAATTACCCATCGTCATTATCTTCTTCTTAAGGTTTTACCCTAAGAATCAACTATCATTTATTCATTCGTTCCTAAGGATTTACCTAAGGAATTGGCACGCAGTCCATTGCTGCCAAATTTATCTATCAGGTATTAAATCCATAGTTATCAGGCGCTAACTCCATAGTCACCAAGGTTCACTCAACAAGCGCTAACTCCATAGCCGCCAAGGTTTACTCAACATGCGCCAACTCCATAGTCACCAAGGTTTACTTTAACATGCGCTAACTCCATAGTCGCCAAGGTTTACTTTAACAGGCGCTAACTCCATAGTCACCAAGGTTTAATCATACCATCTCTCATCACACACCAACTATTCCATCTACCCATGTTCTACCCAACATATTTGTAGATATAAATTACATATATATAGTTCAAATCATATACAAACATGTATAAAACATTCATCCAACATTCATCTCAAATAAACAAACAATATATAAACACATAACACGTATTTCATAGAAAATACTTCATATCTATGTGTTAGAAGAAAGTAACTACACACTCACTTGATTAGACGATTCTCGGACAACACTATGGCTAGTAAAAGTAGTATTCTTCGGTAGATCTGGAAGATCTTCGCAAAAACTGGGCTTCTCGCGGGCATAGCTTCGGCTCGGGAATTTCACTTCTCGGGATCTTCGGGGTATCGGGACTCACTTCGGGTCTCGGGAATGATACCAGGGCTTCAGGAAATTTCTTGCATGAAAATCGAGGAAAAACGGGAGAGAGAGAGAGAAGAGAAAATGAGCAAAGAAATAAGGCAACCTCGCACCCTTTATATAGGGTCTGATCCTCGGACTACGTTGGGCGTAGTCTTCTGTTATGCGGGGCGTGATTCGGATAAGAGGGCCACGTGGCGAGGTCTCGGTGGTTGATCGTAGTTCTATCTCGGACCGCATAAGACTGAGATACGTTGGGCGTACTTAAAGGTTACGTGGGGCGTACCCTTCGGATCAGACCAGTGACTCCTCCCTTCGGATAATATCCGAATTTATATTAAAATTTAATATCTTAATTATTTAATAAACTTCAAAAAATCATATCTTCCTCATACGAACTCCATTTTCGACGTTCTTTATATCAACGCGTAGGTGAGACTAAGATCTACAACTTTCGTTTAGACTCCATCGGCTAATTTTGACTTTATTTTTATTATTTATTTTTAGTATGCCAGGACAAGAAAACTCCGTTATAAATTCATAACTTCTTCATTCGTCGTCCGTTTTCGTCTGTCTTTTTACCGTTGCACTACTATCAACAAGATCTTCAATTCTCGTTTAGATCGCTAAGGATAAATATCGTTCTAACATAAATTCACTTTTTACGTCGCACTGTGTCGTGCCGGTTCCTGTCGCGAAACTTCGATAGGTCATAACTTCTTCGTTATAACTCGGATTTTGGCATTCTTTATATGTAATGAATCCTTGTAACATATACTACAACTTAGTTAAGATTATTCCTTCAAAATAATCTTCCATCAAAAAGTCATTTTTGACGCTTATTGTCCTTAAATTGACTAGCCCTAATCCGGGCGTTACACAACCCCTATAAATAGAGGTGCTCACTTTTTGATTTTATCATCCCAAACACTCTCTCTATACCTCTCAAGCTGTTTCAGAGACCCTCTCGATGGCGCAAAGCTTTGGATGCAATGGCTCGGATGCTTCAAAATATGCTACTAGAGTGAGTACATGGCCCCTGTTTCACAATTTTAAAATGTTTTACGGGGGGGGGGGGGGGGGGGTACATGCTTATCAAATCGTTTTATCAAAATATATTTATAGTTATAAAGATCAAATCATTTATAAAGCATAAAGCCTTATGATAATGTAGCTATAGTTATTATGCCTAGTTGTAAACTATGATATTATACCTAAGAGATATGATGTCCGATAGTCTAAGAAGAGATAATACCTAGATTTTTATAATGGCCAAACCCTTAGAATAATGTAGTACCTAGAAGTTATGTTGGTCAAATTTAGGGATATGCACCCTACCTAGTAATTACTCTACCCAAATATTTTGTTTTCAAATAACCATAATTAGGGTATATATATATATATATATATATATATATATATATATATATATATATATATATATATATATATATATATATATATATGAATTACAAAATAATTATGATATCAAAAGTTATAATTATCAAATATAATATAAAATATTTATATTGTCATAGTTATAGGATATCCCTATGAAGGATAAAAGATAAACACATATATTCAATGCATTAGTGAGTTGTTAATATTCATCTAAAGGCCTTGATTAAATTTGGCATTCCTTGATACCTATAATCGTTAATCTTGCGAGAGCTAGGAAGATATGTATAGATCTATACATGGTCTGACAACCCCACCTGCGATTTCTAGCTACAATCTCGGCAGGATAAACTTCTTATTATTCACTATTCGACGTCCAATGAAACGTCGTGGCAGGGTAAAATTATTAGTCAAATAGTGTCGATTATAGGGGCTCATGGTAATACATTAGATCACCATGGAGATCAAACTACCATTAGGGATGCCTTAGAATGGTCAGTAAAATACGATAGGATTAGATCAATATCCTAAAAAGATAATAAGATAGTATCGGTAAATATCCTAGAAGCTAATAAGATAAGAATGGTAGGTATCCTAGAAGATAATAGGATTGATAGAGTCCCCAGAAGATATTCCTAGTTTCCTATAGTAATCTAGGAAGTGGTATAATAAAATATGGGAAACTAGGAACCTAAGAATCATAAAGAATTCCAAAAAGTTTTCAAAAGACTTTGTTATACCTTTACCTCAAAACCTGTGAACTCACCAACATCAAGTTTACGTTTTCAAAAATCACATGTGTTCCTAGGAAGGAGTAGAGATTGAGTCAGGAAAGGATTATCAGCATGAAGACTTTTAGATTTTCGTTTAGATAGATAGTTTTATTGGAGCTCTATTATTTGGGAAATCTTTGTACCATCACCGCTCGGTATTTCCGCCATCGGTCGGGGAGGGTGTGACAGATTTGTATCAGAGCTAGTTTCTATAGAGAATTAGTATTTCTTTTAGTGTTACGACTATAGCTTAGGACATATACTCCGATTAGGTTTTTCCTCAAACCTATAAATAAAAATATTACTATTAATTACCCTACTAATATACTACATACTGGAGAGGTGCCTAGGTTGGAACTGTCGACTTGGGTTGTTGGATTTCAAAACAGCTATACACCAAAATGGTTCTGCCCACCGACTTTTCCTGCTTGGCCGAACCATACATAGTCTAGAAATACAAAACAATAATAACCGCCAATATCGAATAACGTATATAAATCATAAATAAGACAAATATCCAGGATGGTTCAGTATGTAAAGGTCGAGTCACTCCTAAACATAGCCTGATCAACTATGTTTACACTTGACTGAACAAATACATCGATTGAAGTGAGATAGATAAACGATAAAACAGAAATAATAAATACACAATACAAAATGTATACATAAAGTGTATCTAATACATCGTAAGTATAAAAAATAAAAAACATCAAACTTAAAAGCCTCGACCTACTCATCGTTTCTCTCATACTTTGCCTCCTTGCCCTCCGTATCCTCTTCGTCATCATCAGTATCTTCGGGATGAGTGCCTGAAGTGCCCACACCACCAATACCGGCAACTTGTGGATGAGAAGGGGGTGAAACAGAAGGACCCGCCCTAGGAAAAGGTGGATGTTCCATTCCCAAATGTCGCATCACTGTAGCAATCGAAGCCATAATCTAGCGACGCTCCTCCTGTGCAACAATCAGATACGATATCACGTCACGTAGAGTCGGCTCTGGCTAGTCAGGCTCCACGTACCTAGGCCTCTGACGCCTCACAAAGTCAGGCCAAGGGATGTCCTCCGGCTCCACAATGTTGTCATCTGGAATCTTCCACTACTGCCCCACTCCCCGAACCAACACCCACATCTTCCCAAGAGTGGTAGTACCCAGATCTCAGATATGCATAGGAACCATCCCATTAGTATCAACCTTATAAGATAAGGCCAACTAGTAACCTAATGACCCCCGCAAATCATGCTCGAATGTGTAGAACCTAGAGCCATGTTATATAAGTAGAGAGAAAGAGGCACCATGTATAGAAAAGGTCGTCCAAGGGATCCTTTTCACACTCCTGTCTGTGACAAATAGTTCAAGCAACCAATCGGTGGATCAACCGATAGATAAGAGAATAGAAGGCGCTCTCCTTAGCCGTCATAGAAACATAAGTCCCCCGAGCGTGGGCCTAGACCTGCATGTAGTTGTACTCCTGTGGTGGAGCATTAATACAGATGTCAAGATAAGCATAAAAATAAGGGTTCAGAGTCTCCTCAGTAGTGTAAATCCCTAAACGCCTCCCCAACTCGATCATGTTGCAAGAGCGGGATACGTCTCCTAGGCGAAAAGTAAAAGCTGATTAATCAGCCCGTCACATCGACTCCTTGTCGAAGCGGACTGTTAAAAATAACTCCCATAAGAGCTCCTTATAGACCACCTCCTGAGCATCGACTACCTGCTACCATCCATGGCAGAAGAAAAGCTCAATACCATTATCATCCCACAATACATAGGTAAGGAACGACGTCAGTCGAGCCGTCAACCCAAAATCATCCTCCACATTCTAGGAAAGAGCCTAGGGAATTTTGATCTTCTTGGACAAAAGAACAGTAAGGCGAGATATGAAAGAGCTCCGATCATGAAGATCATCAGGAAACTCTACGAAATGATGCTAAGGCTAGTTCAGAAATATCTGACCCGCAGCTTGTCGACCTCGTCTAGCCATACCTGTAGAAAAATAGGCCAAAACCCAGTTAGGAATAAGTTAGAAAAGGTGAAAATTGTATTAGGTGTTGAAATGAACCAAACGCGCCAGATGTGCACTGCGTTTGAGTGCACATTGCGCACATGCATATGTGCACTACACTCCAAGAACATGAAGAACAGCATGCATGACAACCTGTTGTTCCATCCAATTTTGAACCTAAAAAAATATGAGGATGTTCGGTTAGTTATCTAGAACACATGTAGGTATCCCATTTCGTCTAAAACGTCACAAATTTGCGGATTTAGTTATAAATTTTCAAAAATTTAAAAACTCAAAATGAGAATCAATGGATGAATTAAACCGAAAATTGAGTATATAGGGAGTAAAATCGATAGTATAAGGTGCTTATGTAATCATATATTTCACGAAAACTAACACAAATTCATCAATTCATAAAAACATCCAAAAACCCTAAAAACCCGAAATTTAGCCCAAATTTTAAGTTAGAAATATGCATAGAGGTTACCTGGGAGTAGAGCTAACAAACAAGATAAATAAATAGAATCACGGAGGCAGGTCTGTGGTGCATCGTGTGTGTGGGACCCAGTTGTGACAAGCCAGAAAGGGAAAAAAGGAATGTCTGGGGAAAGTTCGAATGAAACCTAAATTCGACTTTAATGTTGATATGCAAGTGTGCGACGTGTGGATCGTATGCTGTGCATATTGAAAATTTTTAAAATTAACACTTTTCATCCCCAAAATCCCTTAGATACCCTAGATACTAAAATCCTTAGGAGTTTAACTTAAGGTCAAGGAAGAAGGATTTCCCTAAAGTAGTAGGAAAAATTCATTCGTAAAATAGGTTGCTAGGAAAGAAACAACAACATGCTATAATCAGCAAATTTTATAGGTTGCTAGGGAAGCAACAATAGCATGCTATAATCAATGAATTTTATAGGTTGTTAGGGAAGCAACAGTGGCGTGCTATGATCAGTAAATAGGTTGCTAAGGAAGCAACAGTAGCATTACAATAATCAATAAATTATAGGTCACGAAGAGAACAACGACATCATAATAAGAAAACAAATGAAAAAAGATATCAATAAAGTCTTTAATTATTAAAGCAATAAGAAAACAAGTTGCTAAGAGAGAAACTGTAGTACCCCCAAAAATGGAAAAGTAGTGTTAACCCCTTAGGAATAACAAATAACCTTCTTGCTATTATTTCAAGACAACAACCCTGCTATGTTAACCTTGATTGACCCAACCACCATTCAGAACATGATTCAGCGTCCAGTCTCTAATGAATTAGGGAATCTCAGAGCTAACAAGGATGAGGGAAGCAATAAGGAAGGCAGTCAACTAGCAAGAACCTATCTGGATTTTCTCAACAGTAAGTCGAGATCATTCTATGGAGACAAAGGAGTAGATAATGTGATCTATTGGGGGAAAGAGATAGAGAGCAAGTGTGCTAGTGAACATAGAGTCAATTTTGCAACTTGCATGTTCATGGGAAGATCTCTCTTCTAGTGGAGTATCCAGGTCAAGGCTTTGGGAGTAGATGAATCCTATGAAACATCATAAGAAGAGTTGAAGAAGTAGATGGTTAGGGGATTATGTTATGGCAGAGATGTGGCATGAGCCGAACAGGAACTCAATCATCTAATCACCAAAGAGTCAAGCTTTGCTTTCTATACGATACACTTTGAGTACCTAGTCACCATATGCTCTGAATTGGTCAATTCGAAGATCCAGAAGATCAACACATATCTCCAAGGGTTAGCTCCCTATATCAGAGTCGAAGAGCAGTCACACTAGCCCAATACCTATGAGGAAGCTAAATATTAGCCTTTGGTCTCAAGGATCTTGTGCCCCAGAACCTATGCAGGAGTAAGAAGAAGTCGAAAGAGCTTAAGAACAAGTGGGGAGGAATCGTCAATGGCAAGTTTAGTCTACCCTTGTGGAAGGAAAAAGAGGAAATTAAGCCTCATGAGAGATCACCCACTTCACCAAGGGGATACTTGGGAAGATTCCTTTATGCAGTAACTGTGGACTTCATCATCTAGGAAAATGTGAGAAGTTTAGGTGTAACAACTGCGAAAGGCCAGGGCATATCGCCAACATCTGCAATAGTCAATCGGGATATTAAAAGGAAATAATGGATATTAGAATAAAGAGGATATTCCATAGGAATAATTATGTAATGGTTGAACAAGAGAATTAGAAACCCTTGTAATTGTACTAATATTATTATATATAAAGGTCTATTTTGAATACATGTTGTGATAGGTAAATGAAAATAGAAATACTTCCAGAAATACATACCACTATTAAGATAAGAGTTTTAGGCTTCCTATTCGTGTAAAATAAGGAATATATATCAGATTAAGAAATTGGTCTCCACACTTAAGATTACCATAAAGTCCGAATTTCGAGGACGAAATCCCTAAAACAGGGGGAAGATGTAACAATTAGGAATTTCTTGTCACCAATTGTCACCAAAGATTAGCATCAACCAATGATAAAGATAGAACTTTTCATATTGAAGGAAAATATGATCAATTGAATGAAAATAATAGGGTAAAAAATGAATGACCAAAAAGTTATACCACTCTTTATGATGGTTAGTGTATTTGGAAGGTACCCAACAAAGTGATCCCAAAGATATAAGTGTTGTGAAAATCTGACCCCGATTAGAGGAGTTTGATTTTATAAAAGATAAAAACCAACCGCGTTAATAAAAATTATTAACATCAAAATGACATAAAGAGATCGGTTGGCTAACGTCACTAAAAGGGAAAACGTAGTAACCCGTGAGATAAAGACTTTGAAAGGAAAAAGTCAAAAACGGAGTTCGTATGAAGGACATATGATTTTTAGAAAAAATATAAAATACGGGTTAAAAACAAAAGTCAAAATTTAACAACGCGACCTTAAGGAAAATTGTAGTACTAGTAGAGAGCTACACAACCATATAAAGAGGGAGTAAGAAACAAAATTCATATAAGGAAGATATTAATTTTTATAAAATATTTAAGGGTCCACGCCAAGTGCACATCATGCTCGTCCCACACACCTGAAACCCAAATTTGTCAAAGATTACGGAGAAGTGGACCATCAGAAGTGTGATTCATCGAAGATTGGGGAGACATGGACCATCAAAAGTGTGATTCCAGGTTGTTGGTTTCTCATTGGCTGGTAAGTAGTAGAAGCTGGTAGTTAAGTGAGCTGTTGTCATGAAGGATATGACCAGGTGTAGGGATTCCATGGGATCGGGTAGGCAGGCCATTGAAGGCCCGATGGCAGCGACGGAATAATGGTGGAGGTTCTGGATGTGCGGTGATTATCAGTGGAGTGGGAGCCATCGTGATATGGTTGTGAAGGGTAGTGGCTTTCACAGTTGTTTTGAGAGTAAGGCATGTTGCGTAAGTTGGAGGGGCTGGGGTTTCAAACATAAAAAGCGTGAGGGGATGATGTGTAGTCCATGTTTGTTCAGTCACTGGTGATCCTATGTTTGCGAGTAAATCGGAAATCACCTTCATTCTCTCATAATAATCTGAGATGGAGAGATCACCTAGAGTTGGGGTTTGAAGTTATTGATCAAGTTCAATTGCTCTTATTTTTTTGTTGTCTCTACAAAGAGTTTCAAGACCGGTCCATACAGTATGAACAGTAGCATCGGGTTTAAGAATCATGTTGATAAGACTTTGGGTGACAGTTCCATAGATCTACATCTTGACAAGATCATCAAGATTGGACCAAGCTTCTGTTGGATAAGGTGTCTAAGTCCGTAACTATATTTGGTATAACTTGACCCGACCCGACATGGTCCATTTGGGTTGCACTTCACCTAACAATTTGTATGCATATACTTTTTAGAATAAGATGCTTATGATATATTAATATATTATGAGTTATAATATATTAATATGAACTCATATTATTTAATTAGTGTCGATCAAGAACTAATTTTGGAATTAATTTAGTGATCAAAATAGGCTAATTAAATATGGACTCTCATATATATATGGATTAGGCTAAGATTTTATTAGGATGGGCTAAGAGTATATGGAAGTCCATGGATAGTCCATGGAGATTTTAACCCATGGATCCTAGGTAAATGAAGATTCATGGGTATTAGGGTTTAACCCTAATCCTCCATATTATATAAAGAGGTCCTTGGTTCTAGAATTGGCACTAGTGTGTGTGAGAAACAAGGGTGGGCCGATTCTAGAAAGCATTAGATTCACTCAAGTATTTCCAAGTTGTTTTGGGTGATTTGTGACACCACTTGAGGCATCCACACTATTGGTGTTAGGCTCTAAAATTCCAAGCAATCAACCACAAAAGAAAGGTATGTTATTCTACTTAAAGTTTTGTATTACAAGTACCCCATAACATGTTAGTTAGGTTGTAAACATTGGAAATCAAATTTGCATGTATTTTAGAGAAAACATAGATCCAAGGTTTCTACGGTTGCATGTACACCATAGGAGTGTTAGTATGCTCAAAACCCAACAACTTCATCTGAAACATCCCAAAATACGACCCAAAATTTTTTGTTTTAATAATAATAAAAATCATATATTGATCGTCATATCATAAAA